GGATAAAACCTATACTGACAAAGTATAATCCGCAATAAATCACAATTTATGTCATTCCGGCACATCGCAAAATGCTAAAAATCGCAATAATATTATTTGCTCTTGAGTGTTTTCAATGTGCCCTTTCATGATTTCTCAGCGCCACTTGCTATTCAGTGTTTAGATTACTTAAGGTCTAAGCGTTCCTCTTCTCCTTTGTTGTCGGGCTTTTAAGACGTATATTTTGATGTATTTATTTATTTAGTACCAACTTACAAGGTGGTGACAGTTCATGTATTTAGCAGTTAACACCTCAGTTGGAACACCCCCCTCCCCTTCCAGCCGTCCGCTCATTGGAAGAGCGCACAGCTCCTAATGCCATCATCGATATTAGGAGGGGGAACAGCAAGAGCCCAGAAGGGAGGGAAATCGGCCATTTACGTTATGTTAATGTGAGTGGTGATAGAGGGAGATAAGGTCCCACTGGGGGATGTTGGTCCCCTTGGCTCGGGCGATCAACACGCTGCAGCTGCGAGGCTGTGAGCTGGTGGCGAGGGAAGGGTGTTGAAAAGAAGGGAGACCTTGTTTGAGTCTGTGTTTGCAGGAGTGGCTGTTAATTGGCATTTGGGGTTTCAACAATAGAGCACTAATTAGGAAAAGCGGGCGCAAAGTCTCATGTCTAATGCATAGGAATCTGTCTCCATATGGCCGGATAAATGGCCTGGAAAGTTACAGAGGGCAGCTAATGAGGAACAACTGCATTCAAATCAAATTGGGCCTCAACTGGTTCCTTCCAGTATGGCTGAGAAAAGGAAAACTTTACTGAAGGAATACATTTATAAAAAATCATAAGCATTTGTATAATTAATAATCAGAAGCCTAATTAACTCAAACAAGAGCACCCACTGCCCTACATATACAAAACACAGAATTACAGTAAGAGAAGCTGCCTCTTATTTACATCACTGCAGAGCCCAAACAATTTTGAGCTTGTAGCAGGAGCTTTTAATACCTCTGACAGTTACAAAACATCCCAATCGATCGTATTTGTATGCACTGCGGTCAAGCTATATGTGATCTTTTGTGGCGTGTTCTGCTCTCGTTTGAATGAGCCTACTGTAGCGTGCTCTGCTAGCCGTGCCAATGACTTGGCTCATTGTCAGGCGTGGGTGCATTACAAGGTTTTCTCTCTGCTTATCGGAGGACTGTGAAAGTCACCTAACTGGATTAGCCCTCAGCTCGCCTGCCAGGATGAGAGGGGCCCAGTAGGATGCCTCCGCTGCCTCTTTTACACAGTGTATACGAGATATAAAGGACAAAGTACAAAGAGAATGAAAAGGCGATCAGTGTCTGTCCTTTCTGTCTTTTTGCGTGACATTCACTTAATTTCCCGCCTGAACAGAAATGGGCGTGAGGGGCATTTGAGGCAAGACTCGGAGACGGTTCATTCCAGATTATGAGGCAATTTTTTGGTTATGCAGAGTTCGTGTTCCACTGTGAGAGATATCTCACGAATTCCTTGAGGGGATTTCTTCAGCTTTGGCCCAAGGGTTCGCTCTGATTAAAAGTTGAAATGATTAGATGTTGGGAAAGTTTGATTTAATCATCAATGGCGTATAAATGTCCATCGACAGACATAAGGTCGCCAAGAAACATTTGACCGCAAAAAAGTTTGTTCTTGAGTTTGAGTTTGTGGCCAGATGTAACAGAATTCCCTGTGGGTGTTCCCAAGACTTGGCAGTGATGAGAATTCCGTGAAAGGTCGTAGTGACCTTCAAATTTCACTTTTTTTTTTTTACCTCTTAGTTCTTGGCTATATGCCAGATTTTAACATCATCCATCTATCTATCAGGTTATGGGAGCAGACTAGCAGAGCTGCCCTCTCCCAAGCACACTTAGAGGTGTTGTCTCGCCAACATATCCTGGGCCATGACCTGGACTCCTCACCTATAAGGCACATAGGAGGCATTCTGCTCAGGCATCCCAACCACATCAACTGGCTCCTTTCAATAGGTCTCTACTCTGAGCCCTGTAAAAAAGACTGAGCTCCTCACCACAAATGCACATAAGAGATAAGGGCATTGCAGGAGCTTTATAACCTGAAATAGTATAAATTCTATATACAGTTTTCTTTTTCTCTCTTGGTCCTCAGCACAGCCCTGTGACAGCCAGAAGTTTTATGCCATCTAGTCTGGCAGTTATGATTGAGTTATGATTTTTTGATGAAAGCCTAGTAACTGTCTTTAAATGTGTCAGAGATAATCCATAATATGCAGCAAAGCACTTTCATTCAGCCACATGTGAATGTTCTTGTTAGATATTTTACAGGCATTCTGTTTTGGGGATTTTCTTCAGCATCTTTCTCCTAAACCTCTATCCCTCTGCCTCTGAACCCTTTCTGTCTGTTTTTCTTTTCCCTTTTCCCGCCTCATATTCAGTTTCACGCAGCTTCAGTGTGAAGTTTGAACTTTGAAGTGATTTCTCCAGTGCCCACTGTTCTGCACTTGACATTTTTTGACATAGTGTCTAATCTTTATTCTGTTTCTGTTAGCAAAAACTTGGATACTGTTGTTTACTGTGACACTCAGCCATCACTCCTGACCACATTTATCTCTGTGTGTGTTCCCTGTCTCTGTCTGTCCACTTACTTGTACAGTGAAAGGTTCTTTGTAAGGCTGAATAAGAGCGGGCTGCCCAAGTCACCAGAGAAGACAGAAAGACAATGCACGCTATTTGTGGTGAGTAGTTAACACGGAATTTTGTTAAAAAAGATTTACTGGGAGCAATTTAAGGCTATTTAAAGCTAACTTAACTCATGCACTGTTATGCTGAAAAATAAAAGCAGTGTCAGTGCTCTTCAGCTTGTTCACAGTAATTGGATCGGACGCTTAAATATGTTTTCCTGCATCGTTTGTCAGGATTTGGGAAGCAGTGATCTACGAAAAGATGTCTACATCGTTGTGCACATCATAAGAATAGGTAGGAGTAGTGATATTTCTTCTTTATTCTCCTGAGTACTACTCACGTTCTTAAAAATCATTTTCATACTGTTCTTACCGTGGATACCTTTGTGTGTCTGTGCAGGGAGGATGGGAGCAGGAGAGAAGAAGAACCAGTGCAACGTACAGTACAGGCGGCCGTTTGGCTGTGCTGTTGTCAGCATTGCCGATCTACTTACTGCTGACTCTAAGGATGACCACCTGCTAAAGGTTTATACGTAAGTGACTGTAAAGAACTATTATTTAGGAATTCTTCTTTCTTCTAAACACTGAAAAAGTGCTAAAGTTTTGTTCAGCATGATGTGTCGTTTCCTTATTCATTTTCTTTCCAAAACTTTTTTGTTTTTGGAAAGCAGAAGTGATCACATATGCAGGTGAGGATGGAGTGCTAATTTCTCACTTACTGCTCACAAGACTGGTTAGCAAGCCACATGTATAGACTAAATGGATGCATTGCACAGACACCACCAAGTTTTTTTTGTATGTTAATCTACATAATACTTACCTGTGAATCATTCAGGCATTTAAAAAACCCCCAAAACAAACAAACACTTGATTCAAGTGATGAATCAGTGTATTGTCCACGCATAGAAGACAAATTTAGCAAAGAACCAATTTTAAATTAGATTGTTATTCACTGTTACTTTAAAAAGTAAAAAAAAGGAACACAAAATTCCTCCCATTTCTTTAATTAAATCAAAAAATTCTAAAGATGACACAATTTGAAAAGCATAAAAAGGTATTTTTGCTCCAAAAAAGTTGATTACCTAAGAGCTATTAGTTGAAGGTTTTGCATGATATGCACAGTGTCCTCAAAAAATTTATGGAAACTGGACAAGTGCAGGACAAAATAAAGAGGGGCAGGGCTGAAAATCAATCTATAGCAGATGAACAACATGGAAGTCTCAAAGTTGCCATTCAGCCTTTTAAAAATCAGCAACACTGAAGCTCCAGCTGTGGTGTTTAAGGGTAATCTATTAAGCTAATGTAAGGCATTAAAAGCTTTACTGGGAAAAAGCGAGTGGGAGTCCTTTATCAAAGCACCTTATCAACAAGGCTGAAGCCCCCAGAAGTTGTATTAAAATATTCAGATGAACTGTTAACTTAGTTTGATAGCATGTTTACATGATAGGGGTTAATGAAGGCTGACGGCAGCTGACATGTTTTACATACAGGTGAACAAGGGTGAGACTAAAGGGGGGGCATGGGGCGTACTAGACCGGATTTATTTCAAGGTTTAACTTTCAGATTGAAAGTGCACACTTAAAACACGTGAGAACAAAAACCCATAAAGCCTTCCAAGAAGACAGAGTAAAGATTCATTTTTTATGTCTGAGTTTAGATTGCATATTTGTCTTATTTTATTTAACTATGACTGTGCTTGAGAGTATTCATATAATTTTGGATTTAAGAAAATATATTTTTTAAAAATATTATGTAATATGGGACATAAATGCAAAAGGGAAACGTATTCAAGTAATCTTTTAGGTAAGTAGTAGTCTGAGTACACGAACATTAATCTGGACCAACAAAATTATGCACCTTTCCTTTTACACTTTAGATGACTGCAGTCAAGTCTATGTGATTCTCTCAGGGATGAAAAGGCATCTGTTGACATAGTAGTTTGACCTAAATTATAGCAGCATCAGAGTAACTGGCCAAATGTACTTTGCTCACAAGAACATGCAGCCACTTTCTTCACACCTGAGGCAACAACAGGTTTTAGTTGGACTAGCAGGAAAGTTGTGACCCAATTGTTTTGTGAGTTGAGTCCAGAAAAGACGTCATTGAAAAGCTGGGGGTTTTTTTTTCCTGTCATGCCACCGTTAAGTGTTAAATACACTCAACAAAAAGCAGCTTTTGGTCACATGTCACATATACAGTGAATTTCAAGAAAGTGGTTGGTCAGCGTAACAGAAACTCAGCTGCTTTTCAAGGGTAAAAGCACTTGTTACTTCAAACATTGTGGCTTGGATGGGAAGAGCAGTGATGATGCTATCAATTTCCAACAGCAAGCTTTTTCTACAGAGTGGGTTCATGGAGTTTCAAAGAGAGGTGTGCCTTTTTCACAAATGAAGAATTAATGCAAAAAATGCTTCTTGTTATGTGAAGTGTAGGATTCAGCAGTTTTGGTTTTGCTCGGCCTAAGCACCATCAATCCTGACTCTCTTTCAAGGATATTTACCGGACTCTTTCTGGAGCATTTGTGCAAATCTGCAGTAATTTTCTTTTTGTGTGTGTCCCAGGTGTAACACTGAGAGCGAATGGTCCCAGATCCATGAGAACATCATCAAAAAGGCCAATTCTAGGTACAACTTGTCTGGATCCAACACTGGTGAGAACCCCATTTGCTTAACTCATTGCTTTTAATTTCTCACACCTACACAATCATGTAGGTGGTTTAAGCCATCAGACAACAGGGGTGGGAGGGGTTCAGCACTGCATGTGGAGTTCATCATGTTCCGATGACAAAATGAGCAGCACAGTTGCACATCTTGCCATGTATTACTCAGTTTCCGGTCATTCTCAGTAGCTATCATGTGGGAGTTAAGTTCTTTTCTGTGGGAGTGGATTAGTCCTTACATTTCTGTGTCTGCAGGGAATCTATGTATTCAGATAGTTTGTATTAATAGCTCAAATTTCATCATGCTGATCAGCAGAATCAGTGGTCTCCCATAGCAACAAGTTGGTGGAAAATGAGAATGTTGAGTCTTTCAAAAACATGATCGCTCTGCAATGCGATCAATACTTTGGTGGACTCTAGATTAATACTGATGCAGTCATTAAGGTGCTAGTTACATTTTGCTTGAAGAAGAAACTTGTTGAATGATTACAGTGAGGGGAGCGTGAAAAGGGGTGCAAACTGTGAAGCAAGAGGGCATAAGCACAAATTAAACAGAGCTGGCTAATTTGCAGCTGCTTGCATCAGTGTGTACAAACAGCTCTTGGCAGTCACGGACTGCTCATCAGAAGTTTCCGTTATGTAGCTGAGAAGCTCCAGGAGGCCGCTACTTTCTCAGTGAAAATAAACACTATGCGTGTTTCCATCTCCTAACGCCTGCTTATACGTTATATATGGAAATATGGAAACGAGATCCGATCTGCTGAGTCAGCACCCCATTCCACCTGCCCTCAGAGAGCCAATAATTGCTCGAGGTGAGAATAATCCCGTACAGGCGAGAAGAGGATGCTGTGACACGAAATCACTTAACACCTTCTGCATGATCCGAGCCGTGTTTTTATTTAATTTTTTTTATTTTTTAACACCAACAACAAAAGTTGTCCCTCTAAAATGAGTACTGTTTAATTTCTCTTAGTACAAAAATATGAATATTGAGCAAGCATTTCATTCTTTTAGCTACTTACTTTAGTTTTCTAATCTCATATTGATCTCTATAACAGCTTTTGTTTTCTACTCACTACTCCTGCTTCTCCTGACTGGTCATATTATCATAGATAACTCCCAGCCACGCACAGAGATCAGATTTAATAACAGATTATGTGCACTGATAATGTTCTGTATTGTTGCTGTTCAACTTCCACAACCTTTTGGCAGTTATCACTGCAGATGCGGCACAAGCTTCTTGATGCCTGCTGGATAAATGTGACATTTTCATCTTTACCTTTTGCTTTTTTCTGTAATCAGAGGCAATTATTTGCACTCATTGGTAAACACATTGTTACTGGCAGAAGACAGCGTGTTGCCTGACTTTGCAGGGTTCTCTCAAAACATATCCGTCATGTAAGTGTTTGCTCGAGGCTTTCTTTTGACAGCAATATGCAAAGCACACAGACGCACTCACACAAGCACGTGCAAGTGAATGATTTTAGAGTTCAGTCCCCTGTTTTGGCTGCAGTGCAAAGTTTATCACAAACGCTTGAGTATTAGCTGTTGAATTGCTGTCAGATGAAGACACTGATGGAGCTGTGCGGCTGATTAGCCTCAGTGTTTTTTCTTTCAAAGGGTATTAGAGGAGGGCTGCAGGGTTTTTTCTTTTTTTTTAATGCTGGCATGCATAATTAAAGTCTGTTTGTTCCAAAATTACATTTCTGCCACTTAACTCACTGTGACATTGATCTTATGAAACAGAAGAGGGAAAAAACCCCTTTAATCACAACATAGAGGTAATAATTTAAGTATTAAAGATAATGAGCTCTGGATATTAAGTGTCATTTATTAATTTACTTTGCTTAGATGGTGCTCTTTTTAACTACTCTCTCTGTAATTGCATGTCTTTTACTCACACACCTGCCTTTAAGACTAATGCTCTGGTGACAGGTTTTAACAGCAGTTAAAAAGATATACCTAATAAAGTAGCCAGCGAGTGTATACTTAGTATATTAA